CACTGCACTCTAACCTGGGCAACAGAACAAGACTCCGTCTAAAAAAAAAAAAAGTCTGAAATGGAATTTAGAGAAAATAATAAACACCTTTGCTCTGTTTTCCATATGGTTTGTGTAACCCTTAGACAAGGTTAAAAGCCCTGCTATGTGTCTCCATAACACCTTGAACTTCCCCTATCATATCACTTATTACTACATATCATATTGTCTCTCCTAGTGCACTATGTTCCATGTAGGCAGACTGTCTTCTTTCACTACTATCTTTGAGTAATTAATTCTGTCGACAGTTCAAACGGGTATTTTTCACGTCCAGTGATTATATGCTGACTTCAGCAGCCTTCCTTGTTCTGCATTCAGTTTGGTATGAGCTACAGCCCTCTCCAGTTCCTTAATGACTTCAGGATGTTGAATCAAAATTATGTTTCCAAACATCCCAACCACTTTACAATAAAAACCTTGGAAAGTGTGTTGAACACAACTGATTTATCCAAAAAGCATCCTAGTGTTTTCTGTCTCAAGCGTTTCCCTCCCACTGTTCCTTCCTCCCTCTCAGATGCACAAATAAATATATTCTCACTCTTTCTCCCCTGCCTAGTTTTGCCCCACAAAAGCTGAGGCCCGGAGAAGTGCTGCAAAGATTGCGCTAATGAATTCTGTGTTTAATGAACATCCTTCCCGAAGAATCACTGATGAGTTCATTGAGAAGAGTGTCTCTGAGGCCCTGGCATCTTTCAATGTAAGTTACATGGAGCTGGAAGGAAGGAGAGTAGGGGATGGGAGAGCTGGCCAGTTGGGAAGTTGTAAATTACTGTGAAACAGAAAATGAATTCTTGTTTTCTTTCTGGTCGACTTCTCTGTTCTTTTGGTCTGTTCTCTGTCAGTCTATTGTGTCATGTGCTCCACATGTCTCAGTCTCTAATGCTATATCTGTTTATGTGTTTTTTGCTGTTTTGTCTCTTTTATTGTCTCTTTGGTATCTAGAAACCTTTAATTCCAGATTTATGGAATTGTAGGGCTATTCCAAAATGAAAATTGAGGTAGAATTTTGCTTTTGCTAATTTTGGCTTAAGATTTTAGTTCCTGCTGTCCTTTTTTTATCAGACTGTTTTTATTGTCACTTGTCTCCTGCCTCCATTACTTCATCTTATTGATAAAGAACCCGTTTATAATAAAATGTCTTTTTTTTAATCTATTTTAGGAACAAGGAGGATAATTTATTTACTCTCTTTATTTACAACTGTTCTTTCAAATGATGATGATAAAAAGAACCATAGTTAATCCTAATTGAGTATTTACCTTGTAGCAGGGAGTCTTCTAGGGTTTACATGTATTTTATCTCATTTGATCATCACAACAATCCTATGAGGTGTAAGTACCATTATTGCCCCTATTTTACAGATGAGGAGACTAAAAACACAGAAGTAAAGTATTGCTTAATATAATATAGCTAGTAAATTGGTCACACCAAGATTAGAACCCAAGTTGACTTAATATAGAGTTACATCTTAGAAATTAACACTGCCAGCTAGGCGTGGTGGCTCATGCCTGTAATCCCAGCACTTTGGGAGGCCAAGGCGGTTGGATCACAAGGTCAGGAGTTCAAGACCAGCCTGGCCAAGATGGTAAAACCCCCGTCTCTACTAAAAATACATAAAAATAACTCAGGAGGTAGAGGTTGCAGTGAGCCGAGATCATGCCACTGCACTCCAGCCTGGGCAACAGAGCAAGACTCCATCTCAAAAAAAGAAAAAAAGAATTAACACCGATATCTTCCTTCCTTTCCACAAATTCATTAATAGTCAAACCAAGTATCTGTACTATTTGCATTTAATTACATGTAGATGTAGTAATTACAGGCCAGGCAGGGTGGCTCATGCCTCTAATCCCAGCACTTTGAGAGGCTGAGGTAGGTGGATCACCTGAGGTCAGGAGTTTGAAACCAGCCTAGCCAACACGGTGAAACCCCATCTCTACTAAAAATATAAAAGTTAGCCGGG